GTCGTCGGCGGGTGTCGTCGTCGGCGGGCGTCGTCGTCGTCGTCGTCGGCGGGCGTCGTCGTCGTCGGCGGGCGTCGTCGTCGTCGGCGAGCGTCGTCGTCGTCGGCGAACGTCGTCGTCGTCGTCGTCGTCGGCGGGCATCGTCGTCGTCGTCGTCGTCGGCGGGCGTCGTCGTCGTCCTCGTCGTCGTCGGCGGGCGTCGTGGTCGTCGAAAAATCCCACCAGCCCTTTGGGCGTGAGTGGTTTAGAGAGCTCTCTCTGTTCTCAACCCCCCTTCTTCCCCTTCGGGGAGGGGTTTACCCCTCCCCCTACCCCCTCCCCCTGGGCCTGGAGAGGGCGCCCCGCGGGTCGTTGGAGGAGTCTTGTTCGACTCCTGGGAGGGCTAAAAAACGACACCCCTCACGAGGATTCTGGCCCCGACGGGGGAGGCAGAAAAGTGCTCCCCTCTTCGAAGCCAAAATCATTGATTGTACCACGGTTTTGGCCCCATTTTGGCCTTCTGAGGGGGCAGCGCTAATTAAAGCTCCCCTCTTCTTTCAAGCCAGAATCATTGATTGTACCACGGTTTTGGCCCCATTTTGGCCTTCTGAGGGGGCAGCGCTGATTAAAGCTCCCCTCTTCTTTGATCGATTTCCTCCCAGATGGCCCCAAGAAGCGCCCAGGAGGCACCAAGAGGCCCCAAGATGGCCCCAAGAGGCCCCCAGGAGACCCCCAAGAGGATCCCCAACGGCCCAAAGAGGCCCCCCCGAGGCACCCAAGACGCCGAAAAGCCCATCAGGACGACCCTCTACTCGCCTGGGCGTCGTTTCTGGACGGGCAGGAGGAGGGGCCCGAACGACTCACACCAGGACGAGGGGCCCGAACAACTCACACCACGAGAAGCCCGAACGACTCACACCAGGACGAAGAGCCCGAACGACTCACACCACGAAGAGCCCGAACGACTCACACCAGGAAGAAAGGCCCGAACGACTCAAACCACGAGGAGCGCTTTCTCTCCCTCCTCCTCCGCCTCGTCCTTCTCCCGCTTCCACCACAAGGAGGATGTACAAGGAGGCGGGAGGAAGGAGGAACAGGGGAGATATGCGGGGGCAGGCGGAAACACGCCTGAAAATCACGACTGTCGCCATGCTTCGCTAGAGTTGCTGTTTTGAGATGGGCTGGTGGGGATACGCGAAGCGTGAAGAATTCTCGGACTCCCCCCTGGACAACCCCGACAATCCATGTTGATTCATGGCGACAAGACGACCTAGGCCAGAAAATCCCTTTGGACCAAGCAGCGGGGATCTGGATAACCCCACTGGACAACCCCCCTTGGACAAGCTTCTCTGGGAGACTTCACCACAAGATAAAGTCAACCGTGCGGTACCCCAAATCCCTACTGACTCACCACGCGGTGTGGTCACCACACCGTGTGGGGACCCCCGACGCCAGCCTCGCGGGTTTCAGGTCATAACTCGGCTCTGCGGCAGCCGTTCGGGACGATCCAGGCACCCCCGACACGCCCGCGGCGAGACGCGGCTGCTGGACACACACCTCGAGGCTGGAAAACCTCCAGGGACCGACGAAAACGCCCGAAGACCTCGGAAACACTCGAAGACGCGGCGGGCCCCCGATTTTTTGTTCGACCCACGAGGCCCGCCGGTCGGTCATCGGGGGCATCCAAGAAGGGGGCGTCCAGGAGGGGGGGGTGCAAATCATGGCCCGAGGCATGTGCGCGGACCAGGGGAGCCAGGGAACGTACCGAAACAAGCGGCGCCATGAAATCTGGGGAGATATCATGGCCCCCGCCATGATATCCACCCCCCCCTAGCCATCACCCCCCCTCCTTGCCGCTCCCGACACATGGCTCCCCCTCGAGAACCAGGGCACACCCGGCCCTCCCGCCCCGCCCATCCGCCTCCTCCCTCCCTCCTCCTCCTCCTCCTCCTCCTCCTCCTCCTCCTCCTCCTCCTCCTCCTCCTCCTCCTCCTCCTCCTCCCTCCTCCTCCTCCTCCTCCTCCTCCTCCTCCTCCTCCTCCTCCTCCTCCTCCTCCTCCTCCTCCTCCTCCTCCTCCTTTCCTCTCCTCCTCCTCCTCCTCCTCCTCCTCCTCCTCTCCTCCTCCTCCTCCTCGTCCTCCTCCTCCTCCTCCTCCCCCTCCTCCTCCTCCTCCTCCTCCTCCTCCTCCTCCTCCTCCTCCTCCTCCGCCCCGACGTCAGAGGCCTCGTCCGGAAAGAGCGAGCGATAGTTCACCGTGAATGTCTCCCTGTAGCGGCGGGGCGCCTGCCGTCGGCGGCCGGGGGCGGCGGGTGGGCTCCGCCTCTCGCGGGCCTGCGCGCGCCCTGGCCCGGGCACCTCCTGGCTCCTGCTTGCTGCTGCCGCCTCCAGACTCCTCCAGCCTCCACCTCCTCCTCCTCCTCCTCCTCCTCCTCCTCCTCCTCCTCCTCCTCTTCATCATCCTCCGCCACTGCCACATCCACATCCACTTCCTCTTCCCCGTCCATCATCATCATCATCATCATCATCATCATCATCATCATCATCATCATCATCATCATCATCATCATCATCATCATCATCATCATCATCATCATCATCATCATCATCATCATCATCATCATCATCATCATCATCATCATCATCATCATCATCATCATCATCATCATCATCATCATCATCGCAGCAGCAGCAGCAGCAGCATCAGCATCATCATCATCATCATCATCATCATCATCATCATCATCATCATCATCATCATCAGCATCATCATCAGCATCATAATCATCACCATCATCATCATCATAATCCTAATCCTCATTATCAGAATCAGCATCATCAGCAGCAGCATCATCATCACAATCATCATCAGCATCATCGTAATCATCGTCATCAGCATCAGCATCAGCATCAGCAGCAGCATCAACATCATCATCATCATCATCATCATCATCAGCAGCAGCAGCAGCAGCAGCAGCCGGCACAATCAACATCATCATCATCATCATCATCATCATCATCATCATCATCATCATCATCATCACTGCCAGACGTGTCCACATGCTGCTCAGCACCCTCTACTAGGTCATCCACTCCCCAGGCTGATTCAAATACCTCGTTGGTGCCATGCCCAGGCTGACTCAAAACAGCACCTTGACGTTAAAGTTGTCACCCGACTTCGCAGGTAAAGCATCCTCTGCTGATTAGACGAGCCCCCTCCCCAAGCTGAGTGAGAACGCTCCTTTGCTTCAAGCCTGCCCTTTTCCTGCGCAGCGCCTTCTGCTTTGCAGACTCTGCTGGACGAGGCCCTCCCCAAGCTGAATCTACCATATCTTAATAGGGGTATTGTTCTCGCTAGGCCCCCCCTCCCCACGCCCCCCGCAGAAGCAGCTCCTCACCCCTCCTCCCAATCCCCGCCACCATCACCATCACTATCACCGCCACCACCACCACCACCACCACCACCACCATCATCATCATCATCATCATCATCATCATCATCATCATCATCATCATCATCATCATCATCATCATCATCATCATCATCATCGCCGTCGTCGTCGTCGTCGTCGTCGTCGTCATCGTCGTCGTCGTCGTCGTCATCGTCAGCAACACCACCACCACCATCGTCAACGTCGCCGTCACCGTCACCGTCATCATCAGCGGCATCATCATCATCATCATCATCATCATCATCATCACCATCAGAATCACAAACAACACCTGGTGCTCCAAAACGAAAGAAATGGGAAAATGTCGCCACTCCTTGGCTCCTGGTGCTCCAAGGCTTTGAATCGTCGACGCTGTTGGGCACCGGATGCTCCCAAGCGTAGTACTGACGTGATTTGTTTGGCCGCTCCTTGAAGCCCCACAAGTTCTGCTCGTAATACAAGGCGGTTATGGGAAACGTGGCAACAAAATGTATGTAAAGTCGGTATCGGGCCCACTCGAAATTGCGAAAGCCAGATAGCTCTAACATTCCCGTTCTTGCCTGATAAAAGTCACTACGAAGTCGGCATCGGTCTATTGTGCGTTGTAAGTTCATGTTGCCCCACATGTGGTGTTTGTGGTCCAAGGCAGCTACAGGAAACGTTATGCAAAACATGTAAAATCGTCACCGGGCCACTTTGCATCGCAAAACAAAAAACTTCTCACAATCGCCTTGCAAAACACACTACCAAGCCGACCCCAAGTCCACTTAGCACTGTGCACCAAAAGAACCTCTCATTCAATGACCTGGGCTTAGAGAACTGCACGCTTGAGAGGCACGAGGCTCACGAGACCTGAGCATGTCGCCGACGTCTCAGCCTATGCGCGAGCCTCGGAACCGGACGTTCTCGGGCACAAGTGGACTCGAGGGCCGAAGGTACCAGAGGCCCTCCGCTTCCTGGTCGTGGACTCGACGAACGCGCAGGTCGGTCGGGCAGCTCAGGGGCATTGAGCGGCGTACCGAGCACCGCACGTGAGCGGGCAAAAGGAAGTGCAGGGCGGCCGCGGAGAAGAGGGAGTGAAGGACGGCCACCTCAGCCCGTGTAGGTCTCCGGGGGGGCGTGCTGCGGCCCAGGCGAGTCCACGCGCGTCCAGGGCGAGGGCCGTACCAAGGTACGAAGCCAGGAGGCGATCCGAGCAGGCTGAACAACCATTGGGCAGCAGCGAGCTCTGGAGAAGAGTGACGACTGCCGACCAGGCGCGGCCTGGCACTCCAGGGCAAAAGACACCTCGTCCAGGCGTGGCTTCCCGGCGACTGGGCACCAGGCGCCACCAGGCGCGACCGCGACGAAGCTGGGCACCGGTGGGGCACGGTGCTGGTCGAGTCGACGCGGCTCCTCGGTGGTCTACAGGGGTGTCACGCTGGAATCGTGAGGGTCGCCAGGGCACGCTTCTGATAATTTCGCTACAACTGTGCAAGTGTATGCTGACCTCGCCACCGCACACTGCACTCAGGCCCTTTCAGGCAAATCGTCGTCATCTGCGTGGCAACCCCGGGAGGGCCGAGGATCGAAAAATCATGTAAACCTAAACTTTCAGGGGTTCCCGCTGATTCCGGGGGTTGGCGCTGCACCCCCTCCATACACCCCCCAGCGGCGCGCGGAGCGCGCTGCCAGGTGGGTCCAGCGCCGACTCGAAATTAGCGCGGGCCTCCGAAAAACTAACCTCATCTCTGACTCTCTAGGCGAGAGCTTTGGAGGCCCCCGCGGAAGCCTCTGAAGTCCAAAGGGGGCCAAGAGCGCTCAACAATCTCAATCCTCGATCATCCCTCCCACCTCCTCCGCCTCCTCTTCCTCGTCCTCCTCCTCCTCCTCCTCCTCCTCCTCCCCTCCTCCTCCTCCTCCTCCTCCTCCTCCTCCTCCTCCTCCTCCTCCTCCTCCCCGCTGGCCCCCCCCCCTACTTTGGTCCGGAGGTTTGGCAGGTCGAGCCTCCACTCTGGAGGTCTCAGGGGGCCCCTCCGAGGAGCGGGGCGGGAAGGATGCGAGGCGAGCGGCCACCGCCGCGGCGGCACCGTCTCCAGCCGCATCAGCGCTGCAACCGAGGCGACTTTGTCCAGGAAGGCAGCGCACGCGTTGAAGCCGGCCTCCATGGGGGGGAAACGAAGCGAAGCGAACCGAACGGCAGAGTCGTGCGCACCCTACCGGGAAGCCCGCCCGTGCCCATCAGGGCATGCCGTGGAGGTCGTGGCCACGAAAGAGCTTTATGTCTGCCCGTCGCTTCCTGCCGAGAAACGGGGGGGCGGGGCCAAGGGGCGCCAGGGGCCCCGCGGACTCGGGGGCGCATCTGGGCTGGGCGGCGGCGGCGAGGAGAGGTGGCGGCGAGGGCGGCGGACAGAACCTCTGTTCTTGGGGCCCCCCACGCCACGATTTCTCGCACAGGAACGGCCAACGCCCCCCTACTCGCCCCCCCCCCCCCGCGCGACACCCCCACCCACGGACCCTCTAGTCTTGGGACCCCCCACCCCACGATTTCTCGTCCAGAAACGGCCAACGCCCCCCTCCTCGCCCCCCTCCTCGGCCCGACACCCCCACCCACGGAACATCTGTTCTTGGAGCCCCCAGCCCCCCGATTTTTCGCCCAGGAACGGCCAACGCCCCCCTCCTCGCCCCCCTCCTCGGCCCGACACCCCCGCCCACGGAACCTCTGTTCTTGGGACCCCCCACCCCACGATTGATTTTTCTCTCAGAAACAGCTACCCCCCTCCTCGCCTCCGTCCTTGGCCCGACACCCCCACCCACGGAACCTCTGTTCTTGGGACCCCCACCCCACGATTTTCTCGCCCAGAAACGGCCAACGCCCCCCTCTTCGCCCCCTCCTCGGCCCAACACCCCCACCCACGGAACCTCTCATTTTTCATGACCCCCCACCCCACGATTCCTCACCCAGAAACGGCCAACGCCCCCCTCCTCGCCCCCCTCCCCGGCCCGACCCCCACCCACGGAACCTCTGTTCTTGGGACCCCCGCCACCGATTTCTCGCCCAGAAACGGCCAACGCCCCCCTCCTCGCCCCCCTCCTCGGCCCGACACCCCCACCCACGGAACCTCTGTTCTTGGGACCCCCCACCCCACATTTCTCGCCCAGAAACAGCCCACGCCCCTCTCCTCGCCCCCCTCCCCGGCCCGACACCCCCACCCACGGAACCTCTGTTCTTGGAGCCCCCCCCCCCACGATTTCTCGCCCAAAACGGCACGCCCCCCTCCTCGCCCCCCTCTTCGGCCCGACACCCCCACCCACGGAACCTCTGTTTTTGGGACCCCCCACCCCACGATTCCTCACCCAGAAACGGTCAACGCCCTCCTCCTCGCCCCCCTTCCCCGGCCCGACACCCCCACCCACGGAATCTCTGTTCTTGGGACCCCCCACCCCACGATTTCTCTCTCAGAGACAGCTACCCCCCTCCTCCCCTCCTCGGCCCCGACACCCACCCCGCCCACGGAACCTCTGTTCTTGGGACCCCCACCCCACGATTTCCCGCCCAGAAACGGCCAACGCCCCCCTCCTCGCCCCAATCCTCGGCCCGACACCCCCACCCACGGAATCTCTGCTTTTGGGACCCCCCACCCCACGATTTCTCACCAGAAACGGCCAACGCCCCCCTCCTCGCCCCCCCCCTCGGCCCGACACCCCCACCCACGGAACCTCTGTTTTTGGGACCCCCCAAACGCCACGATTTCTCGCCAAGAAACGGCCAACGCCCCCCTCCTCGCCCCCCTCCTCAACCTCTGTTCTTGGGACCCCCCACCCCACGATTTCTCGCCCAGAAACGGCCACCGCCCCCCTCCTCGCCCCCCAAAGACGAAGCCAGGACTGGGGCAATACAGGTTCGGGATACCTCGGGGATCTCTGGCATCTGGCGTTCCTGGAAGATGCATCGGGCGCCGCGGCCGTTGCAGAGCGCTCCAGTTCGCTCTGAGAACGTACCTGGATGCTCTGGAGCGATGTACCCCGATCCTCGGCCTGCCTGAACCCCCCCAAACCCACCGCGGGGCCTCACTCTTGGTGTTCACCCGGCCGCTCTCCACAGGCAGCCGCCTGCGGGGCGGCCATCCCCGGAGCTGCGGCAAGGGAGGAGGAGGAGGAGGAGGAGGAGGAGGAGGAGGAGGAGGAGGAGGAGAAGAGGGGTTGGGAGGAGGGAACAAGCGTCGAGGTTGAGGGTTTTCTGACCTCGGCAGACCCCGTCTGGTATCCCTACAGCGTGCGCTTCCCATCCACACACTGTCGACTCCATGGCATGGCCGGCAGTGCAGCGGCGCCGCCAATCTCGCTGTGCTGCGCGTGGAGACTCTAAGCTGGCATTCGAGGTGCTCCAGTCACTCTTCACCAGAGTTGGGAGCGGCCAAGAAGGGGGCGTCCAAGAGGGGGGGCGCAAATCATGGCCAGGGGCATGTGCGCGGCCCAGGGGTGGGGACCGGGGACGTACTGAAATAAGAAGAGGCGCCATGAAATCTGGGGAGATCTCATGGCCCCCGCAATGATGTCCACCCCCCTACCCATCACCCCCCTCTTCGCCGCCCCCGAAGGAGGGGGAGGTGGAGACGGAGGACGAGGACAGGACACAGGCGCGTCCCTCGGCCTCCCCGCAGGGCCGAGTGGCAGTGCGCCTGCGGCACGTACACCTTCGAGGACCGCACCGCCTGCCGCCGGTGCGCCGCCCCCTCGCGTTGGGGCCGCTGCTGCTGCGTCCTTAAGACGAAGCCAGGAGGAGGATAAATCGGGTAAGGATAAATCGGGAATCTCTGAGATCCAGCGGCCCTGGAGAACGTATCGAGCGCCGCGGCCTTCTCAGAGCGTTCCGGAACGCTCAGAGCGTTTTGGAACGCTCTGGAGCGGATGTATCCTCGCCCCAGCCCCTTCCCAATCGCCCCTCCCCGTCGGTGCCGCCCGCGGAGCCGCGGAAGCGTGGCCAGTCTTGCCAGAGGGGCACCCAGACCAGCCCAGCCAAGACCCCCGGCCCTGCCGCCATTGGCGCCGCTGGCGCCGCCGCCCCCACCGCCGCCCCTGCGAGACTCGGGATCGCCGGGTTAGGCGGCGCTGGACGGGCTCGACATGATCCAGGAGCCCATGGTCGACTGCCCAACGCTCCGCTATGTGCCTGGCGAGGCACGGGCCACCGCGGCACAAATCGCGGAGGAGATCTACCGCGCCATCCTCCGAGCGGAGCCTGGCAGCTTGCGCGAGGACAGGGCCTGGAAGCTGCTCCTCCTCCGCGAGCGGCTCTTTTTCGCGGAGCCGCTGCGCGCGCGGGCCGACTGGCAGCGGCGGCCGCCGGACAGCTACATGCTGGACCAGGCGCGGCTAGTCCGCGAGCGGTGCTCTAGCCTCCACGGCGGCGCCTGGGAACCTCTCCCGCGAGAGGCACACGGGCACGAGCGCGGCCTCGCCCGCAGGCACCGGGAGCCGGGCGGCGACGAGAGGGACGAGAGCTGCCTGGCGAACGAGGGCAAGACACTCCACGAGGAGTGCTCTAGAGCGGCCGCGCTGCTGGCGAGGCCCAGGCTCGCGCCGCTGGTGGAGGAGGCGGGGGAGACAAGCTGCAGGCGCTGCCCCAGCCGCGGCGGGCAGAGCCTCTGGGGGCGCTCGAGCGGGACCTGGGGCCGCCGCCGCTGAGCCACTTTCAGCGCTCAAGCGGGCGCCCCGCTCAAGCCCCAGAAGCAGCGGGGCGACGGCAGGCGGGGGGCGGGCGCTGCGAGCACTGACGAGCGGCCCTCGCGGACCCAACGCCCTGGAAGAGCTCTGCGGGGTTCTGCGACCTCCTCGCGGGATGTTCCAGAGAGCGCAGCAGCGGCGCTGGCCCTCTCCCGGCTCACAGCGCTCCGGAAACCCGCAGGCGGCGTCCGGCCCATTGCGGCGCCGAATGTCCTCTGGCGGCTAGTGGGGCAGGCGCTCCTGCAGCCGCGGAGGGCGGAGCTCGCAGACACCAGTATGCCATAGGCACGGCCGCGGGCATGGAGCTCCTCGCGCACCGCGGCGCGCGCGCTCGCCCAGTCCTGCCCTGACTTGGTGCTTGTGGCTATGGCCGCCGAGAACGCCTGCGGCTCCACGGACCGCGGCGCTTGCCTTGCCGGGCTGGAGGCCGAGGCCCCGAGGCACCTCCCCTTCGAGGAGCCTTCCTGCTGGCACACCTCCCAGCACCTCCACTGGGACGGCCGCGGCCGCCGCCGACGCCTCACGGCCACGAGCAGGGTGGACCGAGGGCCCCCCCTGGCACCGCTCCTGCACGCCAGCGGCGCCAAGCCGAAGCTGTGCCAGCTGGCAAGAGGCGGGGCGCGCGGGGCTGCGGGCCGAGGACGTGCGCGTCCTCGCCTACCTGGACGACACCGCCGTGGTCGTCACGGCTACGCTGGCGGGCAAGGCCCTGTCCGCCGCCAAGCGCGCTCTGGGGGAGCTCTCGACTTGGCCTGGCCCGCGGGCGCGGCCTGCCCCCAGGGCCTGCAAAGCCACTGGCGCCCGCAGGGCCTCACGCGGGCGGGCGCGCCACTGGCCGCGCCGCTCCCCTTGGCAACCTCTCGGACGCAGGAGACGAGCGCCGGGCTGCCCTGGGGACGACGGGCTACGCCGCGGAGCACGGCACGGGAGTGGCATGGCGCGCGGCCGCCCTCCTCGAACAGCAGGCGGCCTTGCCCGAGAAGGCTTCGCCGCACCTGCCCGCGAGACAGGCGGCAGCACTGCTCTTGGGCCACTGCGGTACCAGCTGACGCCCCTGCTGCTGACCACGCCGCCAACGAGCACGGCGGCCGCCGCGGCCACCTATGCAACAGCTGCACCGGCTCGACCCGCTCACGGAGACACAGCGAGCGCAGTGCAGACTACCGCTTCGCCTCGGCGGCCGGGGCCTCCGCAGACAGGAGCACCTGGCGCCGGCGGCTTGGGCGGGCTCCTGGGCCCAGAGCCTCGCGGAGGTACGAGCCCGCACTGGCCTGGCGGCGCTCGACGACCTGGAAAAGGCCGAGCAGCCCCTGGCCGCCGCTTGACGGGCCGTCCGATTGCTGCTGCAGCCGCAGCCCTGCGACGGGCCGCGATGCGGCGGGCCGGGAGAAGAGGCTGACGCCATCCTCGCTTGGGCCACCCTCGCCCACGGACATCGCACCAAGGTGCAAAAAGCGCTCACGCGACAGCATGAGCAGAAGAACTGTTCGGCCTTGCGGAGCGGCGGGACAGCGACCGAGAGACACAGAGCTCTGCCTGACACCGCGCGTACTTTTAGGCCAGACTTAGCGCCGCCGAACACTCTTTGCGCGAACCGCAACCACACGGGCCCGCGCGCAGGCTGGGTCTGCGGGGAACGCCTCTGCTGCAAAGCACGCTACGCTACTCGGTGTTCCTGCGGCGGCACCGGCGGCGGCGGCGGCGTAAGGGCGCGCACCGAGGACGTCGAGGGCGTGTGGCAGCGCAGTCACAACGAGTGCGGTTACCATGCGGCCCAGCTGGGACCAGTGGAAGTGGCGCTGCGAGAGCTGCGACGCGCGGGGCGTGGGTCACCAGGAGACCGCAGGCCCTGGCGGCGGTTGCGGCCAGCCTGTCGTCTCCCACAGGAACGAAGCTACCCTCGATATGAGCACAGCGCGTCGGCTGTCCGCGGCGGTTCATCGATGTGACAGGTCTGGTACGCCGCGCCGAGAGACGAGGCGGGCCTGGCCACGGCTGCCGGCCGCGACGGCGCCGTGGCAGCCGCAGCAGAGGCCGGCAAGAGGCAGCGGTACCCCGAGGGCCGCTGCCCTCAGCCAGTCCTCCCTCTGACCATTGAGACAGGAGGACGGCACGGCAAGCCCGCTTTGCGCAACCTCCGCCAGCTGGCGCGCGACCAGGCGCAATTGGTTGAGGAGGACAGGGCCGAAGCCCTTTGCCGGCGCTGGGGGTGCGAGCTGTCCGTAGCGTTGCACGGGGCCACAGCCCGGCAGCTCCGCAGAAGCGCAGGCTGCCGCGAAGATGAGGCGGCCTTGCGAGAGGCAGGGACCGATTGAAACAACCACCGTAGTGTACAGAGTGGTGCGTCGCTGGGCAGGGACAAAGCTCAGGGCAGCCACCTGACGGCAAGCGGGTCCGCCACGTCCGCAGCTGACACTCGGCGCAGGAGGAGGGGGGAAGAGCAGGAGGAGGAGGAGGAGGAGGAAAAGGAGGAGGGGGGAAGAGTAGTAGTAGTAGTAGTAGTAGTAGTAGTAGTAGGAGTAGTAGTAGTAGGAGTAGTAGTAGTAGTAGTAGTAGTAGTAGTGGTAGTAGTGGTAGTAGTAGTAGTAGTAGTTCAAGTAGTAGTAGTAGTAGTAGTAGTAGTAGTAGTAGTAGTAGTAGTAGTAGTAGTAGTAGTAGTAGTAGTAGTAGTAGTAGTAGTAGTAGTAGTATAGTAGTATAGTAGTACTGTGACTAGTCCTACTACCACTACTTACTACAACTACTACTACTACTACTCCTAACACTACTACGACTACTACTAACTAGGATCCCAAGTAGTAGTAGTAGTAGTAGTAGTAGTAGTCGTAGTAGTAGTAAGTAGTAAGTAGTAAGTAGTAAGTAGTAGTAGTAGTAGTAGTAGTAGTAGTAGTAGTAGTAGTAGTAGTAGTAGTAGTAGGAGTAGTAGTAGTAGTAGTAGTAGTGTAGTAGTAGTATAGTAGAACTGTTTAGGAGTAGTAGTAGTGCGAGAGTAGCAGTAGTCGTAGTAGTAGTAGTAGAGGTAGTTGTTGCTGTACTACTACGACTGCTACTACTACTACTACTACTACTACTACTACTACTACTACGGCTACTACTACTACTACTACTACTACTACTACCACCACTACTACTACGACTACTACTACTAGTACTACTACTACTACTACTACTACTACTACTATTACTACTACTACTACTACTATTACTACGACTACGATTATTACTACTAGAAGCAGTAATCACATCAGTAGTAGTAGTAGTAGTAGTAATAGTAGCAGCAATAGCATTAGCAGCAGTAGCTGTATAGTCATAGAAGTAGAAGAGCAAGATGTAATAGTAGAACTAGGAGCAGTAGTAGCAGTGGCAGTAGCAGTAGAAATAGTCGA